ATCCACATTATAACCTAACCATATATATATATATATATATATATATATATATATATATATATATATATAATATAATATAATATAATTTGGTGAGTCGGATTGTAGTCTTCATTCATATTCGATGCAGTACTTTATTTTATTTTATTTATTAAAAGGAAAAAAAACTTTCAATGGGGAGCGTTGTTTTTCTTAGGGATAATGACTTGAAAGGGTAATGGACTTTCGACTTTGTTCACATTTAGTCATTAAACTTTTTTTCATTATCTATTTGCCACTGAACTGTTAAAATTGTTCACATTTTACCCTTATAACCGGTAACAACCAGTCATAAGGGTAAAATGTGAACAGTTTCAATAGTTTAGTGGCAAATAGATAATGAAAAAAAAATTGGTGACTAAATATCAACAAAGTTGAAAGTTCGTTTCCCTCTCAAATTATTGTAATATTATACCCCGAAAAATGTATAAAAAAACGAAAAACGAAACCAATATTACATGTATAAAAATTATCCTAATATTATATGTATGAATTTTGTGTTATAAAATTATGCAATATATAAATTGACATACATTAAACCATATACGTTGTTTATAAAAGAATACATACATACATTGATACATTATATATGTTGTTATACTCCATGTATTGACATATATCATATTAGTATATTTACTATTAAAAATGATATCGTAAATTTTATATTACACATAACATACATTTAGAAGTATTTTTAATATTATTATTCTTTTTAATTTTTCTTATATAACTTGTGTTAACATATACATACATATAGTTGAAAACATACATACGGTCAAACACATACATACGATCAAATATATAAATACATAAATGGTCCATATTATATTACAGTTTCAGAAGTAGCCACGTATGTAAAAAGTTATTATAGGAATTCTCCCTCGTTAGTTAGAATTTTTTTTATTTTTTTATTTTTTTCATTTATAACGATTGTATTTTAAAAATAAAATGGTATAGTATTAATTTGTTTGTGAGTTTAAATCATCTTATTTTCATTAAAGAAGAAAAAACGATAAAGAGCAATATGGTATTTTTACTTTAAATGAAACTATGCAACAACATCAAATATAAACACAGAGTCAAATATAAACTGAAACTGCCCAACAAACTAACCAACAACATCTGAGAGAGGAAAAGAAGTTGATTTTTTAATGAAACTAAGCAGCAACATCAATTTTAAATCTATTATCAATAACTATTGGATTTACATTAAGGATGTCGTATTAATAAAGATTTCAAGCTAAATTGCATCAGCTTAAACATGAAGTTGAGCATCGATATTCATATAAAATCAAAACACCCTATTGGTAGTCAATAATGTTAGATTAGGTGTCTAAGGTCAAAACTAAATTCATATAACTTTATGAACTAAAAACAAAATATTTTTTGGGTAGCCCTTAGTAACTAGAAATAGTTAGGAACAACTTAAGGAGCGTGATGAAATAATTCGTTTTTTTATACCTTTTTCGGGGTATAATATTATGATAATTTGAGAGGGAAACGAACTTTCAATTTTGTTGACATTTAGTCACTAAACTTAATTTCATTATCTATTTGACACTGAACTATTGAAACTATTCACATTTTACCTTTATGACCAGCTGTTACCGGTCATAAAGGTAAAATGTGAACAGTTTCAATAGTTCAGTGTCAAATAGATAATGAAAAAAAAATTAGTGACTAAATATGAATAAAGTCAAAAGTCCATTACCCTTTCAAGTCAGTATCCCTTTTTCTTAAGTCTCCATTTTTGAATGCAGAGATAAGAAATTAAGTAAGGGTATAAATGCATGTAATTAGCATGTATGCATATTTCATGTGTTTTGATGATAGCACGAACGATTTTAAGAATATTACCTAGTTTGAAGGTTT